TATGCATTAGTAACTCGAAATAAAAACTGTAATTTTGTTGGAACGAAGCATAAGGATCTACCCTCTCTGAAATTGACCTTGTGAGTTTATATACGATGAAGCACCTGTTAAACTGGAACTTTAATCTTGCAATTATATTGTTGAAACTCAATTTACTACAGTAATATTTCTTAGATACATGTCGGACACTGATTATTATTATTATTTTTTATATCAAAATAACTCCTTTTTTTAAAAAAAAAAGTATTTGTTTGATCCTGTCAAGCCAAGTTTGAATCGGGTTTAATAGTCATTAAGTGTTTAAGTAGTTTTTATTTTTTATAAGCATTTTAAGAGTATGTTTTATTTGAAAAAACATTAAATTTATATTTTATTTGATGTTTTTTATAATGTCGATATTCTGAAGTAAAATATTAAAAATATATGAAGTGAATGTAATTTTAAAGCTAAAATCAATACACCACGAGAACAAGCACATGATTTATAACTATGAAATCAGTGCTAGAAATATGAGACCAAAAAGCCTACCCAAAACCAACATGATTTCATTGTCTTCGAGGGCAGATCAAGAGAGATTAGCAGGAAAAGAAGCTTAATTGTAAGCGGCATGGGACCACTTAAAGCTAGCTGATTGTGCCTAAGATTTGGAAGATCACCACACATGGATTGCCAGAAGATCGATCAGTGGAAGAAGGATATGAGCGTGGGACCTTGAAGAAACAAATTAATTGATTGAGGTGCATGAATATAATTGTTGGTGATTCCTATTCGTATGCATAATTTGATATTAATATCAAATATTTTTTATTATTTCATTAATCAATCTACGATTTCATCACGTATGCAATCCAACTGAAAAAAAACTACAGTTTCCTTGTTTTTCAAGCATGCAACAACATCAGGCAAAATATCGTCAGGAACAAAATTAGAATTACGATGAAATTATACAAATGCTATGTCATCAGGTAATCTCCTTTTAATTTTTTGTATAAAATACAATTAAAAATTAAAATTAAAATTAATTTTTTTAATTGAATTGGACCTAGTAAGAACAAAATTGAGATTGTGATCAAATTTGGTAAATGCTACATTATCAAGTGATCTCTTCTAATTTTTCAAATAAAACACAATTAAAAAAAATTAAAATTTTTTAACTGGGTCAGACTTAGTTTAATGCATCTAGCTTTGAATCAGATCTGGTATAGCTAAAACAATTAAAAGCCACTATTCACGTAAACAGTGAAGTTATACTCTACTATTCACATGAATAGTAGAGTTGAACTCTGCTGTGAACGTTTAATGGAGAGTGATCTCTTATAATTTAATGGAGAGTGAAACTCTTCACTGATCATTTCTGCAGATATGCTTTTTAAAAAAAATTACGTAGGTTCTCCATACACAGTAAACTATGTTTTGAGATTACAAAATAGGTTACATCTGCATTTTGCTTCAAACGTATACGCAACCTCCTAAACAAATGGCCTCTCTATAAGCACAACATACTTTCAATAAGGATGGGCCACACAATAACCCGAGCTTAGGGTGCAAGGGCTGAGTGTTGGAGCCCGAACCCATGTTGGATGCGTTACCATGCTTAGAGTGTGTTTGTTTTTCAAGTAGCTTTTGTAATTGTAATTTTAAAAAATAAGTTTAACAAAAATACAATTAATCGTGATTTGTTGGATTTATATATGTGTTTGATGAAAGTTAGGGTTAAAGTTTATATATAGTAAAAAACATGTATGAAATATTTGGTGGAAGTGTGGTTGCGGTTAATTTTCAAAGTACTTATTACTTGCGAATGCATCAGAATGACATGAAAACACAAAAAATATATTAACTTGAAGTAAAGAAAAAAATTTAAAATTTTTATTTTTAAAAAAAAAATACTTTTAAAATACAAAAACAAATAAGGTTTTACGAAATTCAGTTAAAAAAACACATAAAAACTGCTTCGCAAAAGCTACTTTTCAAATTAAATTTTTTAATGGATCCCGCAACATAAAATGCAGTTTAGTTTGTTACCAAACACCTTGCTGTGCTTGTTTCACTGCAAATGTAAAAACTGGTGAAAAATAAACACGGCCTTAAGATTAGGCATGCACCCCGACATTTCCATGGGATTGGGCTATCATGTCCGAGCACAATATATTTTGGTCCAAATAGCATCCTTACACTAGTATTTTACCCGTAATGGGATTACACAACTTGTCATTACTTAATACTACCTTGAAAATTTTTATAGAACCCGTATGGTCTTTTAATATTTTATACTGATTCAATATATGTTATTTTGAGTAAGATATAACTCAAAATATTATAAGAATGTAACTACTTTTTAACCTCTCATCGCTTCAAAATAACAGGATTTATGGACTATAGATATCTAATGAATCCTTTAAGCGTTGAGTTTATAATTTTATTATTCTTAATATTTTTAACATATATATTTATCAAAGTATATTTCTCTAAAAAATATAATTTTATATTTAAGGATTTAGGAATCTTGAATTTATAAAAAATTAATATTTTGCAGATTCCAACCACTTTTCACCTTAACTTATAAGACATTAGGTATAAATAACATGTCATTTTAGCTAAAAAAGTAAATTAAATTACTAAAATTAAAAAAATTAATCATTTATCTAATACATGAAACTCACTTATAAACTAATTGAAATTTTTAGGAAATCATCGAAGTTAATAAATATAGAAAGTTGCTCGCCATTTCTTATGGGCCAATCTTTTTAATTTATGTTGTCATTCATGACAACATAAAAGATAGAGGGTTTTCGATATGTGATATTTTAAATACTTGATATATATACTGTAAAGGCTTCCCATATATATATATATAAAATCGGCCAATAAAATGAGACATAAACGGGACACCTTTACAGTAAGATTGGAAGTTTGACTAAAAATCAACTCAATTAATTAACTTGTCACGGAGGACAAATCGTTAAAACGAGGGCTTCAATTCTATTAAATTGAAGAACATCGAGAAGGGATCCTTCAATAAATGGGGATTTGCATGTCCCCTCAATGGGTGACTCATCACACAGGTACCCAAAACAGAAATGTCTTAGCATTAATTCATTCATTGGCCCTTAGCCTTGGACTCACTATCTTTGACCAGACCTGCCGATCAACCCCTCTCCGAGCCCCGTGCCACCCCGAACCTGAATAAGTTGCCGTTATTTGCTAGCGTTTCAGCACTGTAAAATTTCTCCCCGAACCTCCATGCGCTCTCTTTAATTTAACTAAAAGCTTGGTATGGATCAATTTTTAAATCCTTGATTTTCAAGGCTAGTCTTCAAAATAAAATTAAATCTACAACTATGATTTATAATAATTAAATTATGTTGTTTGCTATAGTGATTTTCGCTCTTGATATCAAAGTATAAAAAAATATTTAAAAAATATATTCTAATAATTTTTTAAATAAAGAATAATTTAAAAATAATTTTGAAAAACATTTTTGAATGCAAAATCGGAAATAGCAGCCTTTGGTTGCACGCGCTCACAGATGAGATAGACAACCGTAGGTCCCACTGTAAAATTCACTGATTCGCCGCAGATGTGATGCTGGCAGATTGCCCATTTTGTGGGTCCTCACACTCATGATTGAACACCACCATCATCATAAGCTGATGATCATAGTTGCGTGTAAGTCATTGTGGATTACTACTACTGTACCATCGTTCATAGAAATTTCCAGTCAATGGTCAATGATAGAAAAAGCCGCTTTTTAAGTGAACTTGGTGAGAACCTGGAAAATGAAAGATTTATTAGTAGCTGTATCTTTTCTCGGTTAAAAATGTGTTTCGTGATTTTTTTTTTCTGAAGTTCGGTTAAAAATGTGTTTCGTGATTTTTTCTTCTGAAGTTAATTTTTTAAAAATATTTTAATATATTAATGTTAAAAATAGTTTTTAAAAATAAAAATATTATTTTTAATTAAAAAATATTTGAAAAATAAACTGTTGCTGTATTTTCAAACACTATTTTAAAATGTATTTGTTTTTTTAATTCAAAAGATATTTTTGTATTTTTTATAATTCTAGATTATTTTAATATATTAATATCAAATATAAATTTTAAAAAATAAATATTAATATATTTTAAAATAAAAAATATCAAGAAAACAATAACGACTACTTTAATACAAAATACTATCTTAACTGTGATTAGAAAAGACTTCCACTAATTTATCCAAAGGTTGAGTAGTGTACTTTGTTCCTACTTTAAAGTTTATATTTTCTTATCGTCCTTCTGCTTTCATTGTAATGTAATCTCAAACTTTATTTTTGTAATTATCTATTCCATCTACGAATGAATATCAAAGATGGATATATTTTATTAATTATAAAAAAATTAAATGAGTAACATCCTCAGTGGAAACCGTACGGTTTAATTCAACATTTTCTTAATTCATGTTTAATTGTACTATAACTCTATAATTAATTCAAATCAGATTTTATCAAGCTAGAGGCATTATTAATATTGAACTGAAGCTATGAAAAATTGGATGCGTTCAACCTATAGTTATTGGGACATGAACATGACTTTTCAAACACATAAATCAATTAAATTTATATTAATATTTTAGGATTTTATGTGAAAAAAATTACATTGGATGGTCACGAGGGTGGCTACAATCGAATGACATTTATTACATTGATGAAAAAAACAGTTCTTATTAGTTTTGAAAAAAAAAAAAGTACAATCGAACAGTGAAATGATTATATTTATACCAAATATACATCAAGAAAATAAATAGGTAAGAGACAAAAGTCAAGGTAGAGGGACCAATGCAACATTAAACCAAACGGAAAAGATACGTGGCAACAGTGTATAGAAAGTCAAAGTAACGAACCAAGGTTTGAAGAGGAGGAGTTAACCATGGTAACAAGAGAGGTTACGTGGAGGAGGAGTAAAGCCTGTTAGCAGGAGCTAGCCATACACAGAAAGCTAGCTTATCTAGTACCATATATGATGATGATGATTTGAGCCAATAGGGGATGGCTGATACAAGCCATGATTGAATCTATACCCATCCGTCACTTTCTCTCTTGTATCTACATTTCTATATGTATAGACTAGTCCCATCCTTTTACTGTACCGAGAATAGCAAAAGGCTGTGACACCTCAGCCTCCAAAAACCCAACCATTTTCTACCCTTCCTTTCCCATTCCGCTTTCTTACAATCTGAATAAAAACCCCTGTTATCCCAGCTGAAAGGGGGCAGAAAGGAGTGTTTATTTTGATTGGGAAGACTGAAGCTTTGGCTCTCTGGTGTTCGAGAGGAGTGAGGATGGGTGATAAAAATGATGGACTGGGCTTGAGTTTGAGCTTGGGATACGATGCTACACAACAAAATCATCAACAGCAGCCTTCTTTGAAGCTAAATCTCATGCCTGTACCTTCACAAAACAATCATAGAAAAACTTCCTTGACTGACCTCTTTCATTCATCAGGTGCTTGTTTCGTTTCTTGGGTTTTTGCTGGGCTCTAAATAAACAAGCTCATCGCACTGTCTTTGATCCAGATCTGTGTTTTGGATTAATTACATGATTCCCATTGTTTTTTTTATTGCAGATAGAGCATGTGGTACGAGGTTTTTTCAACGAGGAATTGACATGAACAGGGTTCCAGCTGCAGTGACGGACTGCGATGACGAAACTGGGGTTTCTTCACCAAACAGTACGCTATCCAGCTTAAGTGGGAAAAGAAGCGAAAGAGAACAGATTGGAGAAGAAACAGAAGCGGAGAGGGCTTCTTGCTCTCGTGACAGTGATGATGAAGATGGTGCTGGTGGTGATGCTTCCAGGAAGAAGCTGAGACTCTCAAAGGAACAGTCTTTAGTGCTTGAAGAGACTTTCAAGGAACATAATACTCTTAATCCCGTGAGTAGTGTCATTTTTATTTATTTATTTTATCATGTTACGGTGGTTTTTAATTCTGGGTTTGGTGTAATTTGGTGAAGTGTGGTGGTTTTGTGGTTGCAGAAGGAGAAGCTGGCTTTGGCAAAGCAGTTGAATCTCAGGCCTAGGCAAGTGGAGGTGTGGTTTCAGAACCGAAGAGCAAGGTGAGATATCCCTCCGTCAGGGCTACTGTTTGTATTTCGAAGTAGTACTATCATCAAATGAGTGAGATGATAAGGATGGAATTGTCTTCTTGGATGATTTTAAGTGGAAGACTCAATTTAGTGAGTGTTAATGAAGGGAAAGATTGTTGCCTCTATTGTTCAGGTCAATAGAATTTAATGCACATAGGACTATTAACTAGTTATAATTGCATCCAATGTTTACAACAGCAGTCGTTCTTTGTGATAATGCGTTACCCTATTCATGGGTCAACTACATCTTGAACAGGAAAAAGAAATAAATTCATTTGTGTTTTTACATTTTGTGATTTCAGAAATTACATATTTATTGTGATTTAAAGTGCTTTTGAACTGTTTTTATGCTGAGGAAAATGTCTTGGAAAGTGAACATTTCTTCATTGAATTGATGCAGGACTAAGTTGAAGCAAACTGAAGTCGATTGCGAGTACCTAAAGAGGTGCTGTGAAAATCTAACAGAGGAGAACAGGAGGTTGCAGAAGGAGGTGCAAGAGCTTAGAGCACTGAAACTTTCCCCTCAGCTCTACATGCACATGAACCCTCCCACCACCCTCACCATGTGCCCTTCATGTGAGCGCGTTGCTGTCTCGTCAGCCTCATCATCTTCTGCTGCTGCTGCATCTTCCTCTGCTCTTGCTCCAACTGCCTCAAACCGCCAACCACAACGGCCGGTGCCCATTAACCCTTGGGCAACAATGCCTGTCCACCATCGAGCTTTTGATACTCCTGCTTCCAGGTCATGATTGTTAGCTTGAAGTAGGGGCTGTTTGGTAAAGATAAAATGGATGAAAGGATTTAGGATAAGATTTCCAGGAACCCACAGAAATTTGAGAGAATGTGGAATAGGGAGAATATGAAATAAGACACGATCAATGGTGGTAGTGGTTAGGATGTGATTTTGTTGACAAGTCCAGGTTGCAAAGAGTGGACTAGTTGCAAAATGTAGTGTTTATAAGTTGTAGGATGATTGGAAGGTGCGACAAAGGAATCCGAATACAATATCTCCCTGCTGATTATTGTAGGATTTGATGTAGACAAAGTGGCTTTACTATGTAAAGAGAATAGTATTTTAGTGATCCAAATGAAGGAATGAATTGAATGGTCATCCTATTAACAAAAAATGCTTCTATTCATCATTATTGGTGGCTTTTGTGTATGAATGGTTGTCAATTAGCCTTGCTAAAAGATTCCAGCTTTTTTCTAGTGATTCCAAGCAGTGTCTCTATGCTCGAACATTCTGCCCAGCCCCATGTACTGGAGCTGTTCTCCAATTGTAAATGTCAAATCTCAGACTTAAACCTCATAGTCATGGTAGAAGAATTCCATGTCGGCCCATAATGTCTCTTATCCGCATTTGTTTGCAGCTAAAACATGTAAGATGTTAAGCACGGCTGGCTCCATCGATTCCTAGCTCGCTTCCATTTTCATGTCTGCAATCCTCTCTTCGGTGTCTGCTCTTTCCTTGGTCTGATTACCATAACGTATGGTAGCTGAACCTTCGTAAGTAGTGGGCAGTTTCTGTTCTTTCGGCCTAATAAGTCAACTCAACATATCTGGTGCCAGCCGGTCACTACAGTAACTGAAATTGTGTTTGGAGCTGGGGAGTTTCAAGACTGCATCAAACTCGAAGATGAGACCTTCGTGGCTGTTTATTTATTTAATTATTTCACGATGAGAAACTACTCAAGTTCACATCCTGTATGTTATCTCTTGCAAAATCTGGAATCAAAACAACACAGAGAAGGAAGTTGTTGTTAAGGATTGTAATTATCCTCCATTCTAAAAGCTAAATTGTCCATCACTTTTGATCCAAACCATTTGACACCGGTGGTCTTCAAGGATTCTAACACCACCACCACCGTAAAAGAATACAGGCATATAAACAAAAAACCTTATTCAAATTTTATCTCTACAGCAATAGAAATCTAAAGATAGAGAATAAAAGAATAAGAAGACAATGGGCGAAAAGAGCATAAAAGCCATTTTTAAAAGTTAAGAGATTTCAAATTGAAACATGATCTCAGAAGTTGTCCCATCTCTCAAATCAGTGAACCACACCCTTATGGGTTTAGACCCTCACAGGAAGAGACTGTAGCTGCCCTTTCAGCAGTTCCGGCCATGAGCAAAACAAAAGACATTAAAAGAAAATGCTTCCCTCCAAGAACCTAATGTCCACCCATCACAAAAAAACTTAAAAGGAGAGGCAGAAAAAACTTCTGGTTCAAATGCAAGGCTATGACTTGCTAAAATCTGAATTTGATTACATCGCCTTGAACACAAGAAAAAGCTAAAAGCTGATCGAATTTAAGTCGCCTCTGATTTCATGGGTGATTGTGTCTTGGTCCTTGGACATTATGCCAGTGCATTTATTTATACATCTAACGATGCAGAGGGGACATGGAAGTCTACAAGGCAAAAAAGACGATAGACACTGAACATCTAACGATGCAGAGAAGCCATGCAAGTCTACAAGGCAAAAAAGACGATAGACACTATTATCTATACGTGTAATCTAATTTCAGATCTCCTTTTACATTGATTCAGAGATGAAGATTCAAGGATTGTCTGATAGGGAGGTAACTGGGCAGAAAATTTAAGACTTATGGGACAAAACGACAACCTGCTCGGATAAAATATGAAGCAAGAAAACTGATGTCCTTGTCACGAGCTTTGAGGCAAGGCAAAGCTTTCTGGAACAAGACCCTCACATTTTCTTGACATCATATCCAAAAAAAAATTTACTACGTAATTCAATGGTGTTTCACATTTAAAAAGAAAAATTTATAAAATAACACAAATAAAAAAATAATTAAAAATTTAACACAATTACAAAAGTTATAATTAACATATGCGACACACAAATCATATATAATATTTGCAACATCTTTATTGGAGGTATTTTAAAAAAGTCTATTTTACCATAACTTCTTTCCAAAAAAAACATCAATTCATATAATTATAACTAATCAATTGGCGATAATATATTTTACCTTAATGATACCTTTATAGTAGTTATCATTATTTTCCAACTTCTCATACTAAATAATTAATCTATATATATATACACAAATATAAAAAATCAATTCATACGATTACAAATAACTAATTAGTCAGAACACATTTCATCTTATTTATACCTTTATAGTAGTTGTTGTTACTTTCCAAGCTTCTCGTACTAAATAATTAATTTATATACATATATACAAACATAAAAAATCAATTAATAGTTAATTTGGTATTTACTAAATGTAAAATAATATTACATATCAATTAATTTTATCTTTAATATCGAGGGTATAGTGTGTCAGATTGTGTGAGCGTATTACAAAACTTGATCAGATCGATGTAATGAAACATCTCATAATGAAAAAAATATTATGTCATGTATGTATTTATAACAATCATTAGATGTTCCTCTTTAAAAACACGATGTCTCCTACAATTCCACATAGATTAATGTAGGATACATGAATTATGAATAGTTTGTTTCTGGTATCAATATAATACGGAATATGATGAGATAATCTAAAATGTCACTTTATCCTATTTAAACAGCAGAACTCAACAATATCAAAATATATCTCAACAATATCAAAATGGTATAATGAAACTACTGTTAATCAAATGTTAAATCTTGGCAAAACTTAAAATACTAAGTTTTCCGTACAAGTTGTTCATATAATCTATTAAAACATATAAATAATCAATTGTTAGCATTTGCAATATAGTGGAAAAATAATTAAAGTTGATATAATTTAAAACACATAAAAAAACTTATCTTGTCTAATTTCACAAGTTTTTTTATTATTATAACCCCTTTAATTGTATATGTCATATTTATTCAATGGATATTCCTCTCAAGCATCCATCTTATTATCTAAATGAGTGAATTTTCTTCAACCCTTTATATACACTATCTAGTTAGACATCCATAAATATTTGGAATGGTATATACATGTCACAATAACATATCAACATATCAGGTAATGGTTGAAAACAAGGATTAAATGTACTTTTATAATACAAGTTGGAGTAAAAATCATCAATAAGTTATATATAATTCATATTTTAAGAAGTAGAATATATAATTAGATGTTAACATGATAACAATAAAATTGTTATTTGTCATAAATATAAATTGTCGCTGATGTTAATGGTTTTTCATATTTTTCTTGTAACATCAGCTGTTGAAGGAGAAAATGAGAGAAAAGGGAAGAAAGGCATGTCTCCGTCTTTAATTCAAATTCAAAACAAGTCATAGATGGCATCTTCTGCAACTCATATAACTATGATAGATTCTTAATTGTTTTTTCATATGCATTACTTTATCGTTTTTTTACCGTGTTAAGAAAAAAAAACCTCGGAGTTTTCACATTGATCTACTCCAGATGCAGTCAAACTTTGTTCAACCAAAGCCACCTTTCTCTGTGCACAGATTACGGAGCCAGCTTTCTGTGGATAACGAAGGATAGTAGAGGGAACCAAATCAATCTGACCATCACTGTACCGAAACCGAAAGTATACGAATCTTACATTGCTTGGTAGACACTCCTTTCTCTGTCTTCTTAATTTCTTGCATAATTTGATTTTCTATAAACACGAAGTCTCGGCTTCTAACTAGATTATATAGTGCGTTAGGGAATGCGGTCAGCCGTGCAATTGCTGCATTCCCAAACGAGTTTGAATCACTAATCCAGACTAGAAAGATAGATTATCAAATCTTCACATCCAGCTAACGTGATTGCAAGAGATTTCCAGAGTACTCAGATATGAAAAAACAACATAATTCGATAATTTCTGATCATTTTGAAATCTACGCTACTAGAAAAGCCATTTTGAAAAGGCACTCTCAGATGCGTTATCAAACACATCTTTGTGAAATTCAGGCTGTATATACAACAAGAAATTCAATTCTTGCAAGCTTTCTCTAATGGGAATTAATGCAAGTCATCCAGTCTCAGTTGCATTTAAATCGATTCAGAAATGAAGGTACACGAATCTTGTCTGATAGGTCGGTAGCTTGGCAGATAATTTAAGACTTGTAAGAACACCTACCCGCTCAAATAAAATACCAAATAAGAAAACCAGTACTGTATCGCAAGCTTTAAGGCAAGCCGAAACTTTTGGGACATAATACCCTGATAGCCCCTGCAGATTATCATCGTTCATAATAAGAAAATGGATAGATTTGCATTTTGGTATATATGACACAGTCAAACGGTATTCACAGTGTCCGCAAGGGAACGCAATATGCAACCCAATCCAGCCTTTTCTGTTAACTTTTCATGTATCCGCAGGCATTGGTCGCATGTGGGCCGATCTCCAGTTGACAATCCCCTGTACAAGTACCTGTGGATTATGATATCACTGAATTAATGTTAACTGCAAAACGTTATACAAAAACCATGAGAACGGAAAATAATAGACCACACAAAATGCTACATTGAGATTCATCCATTCTTTTTCCTTCTGGGAGTTGCTGGTGTTTAATGCAGGAAAAGATTACATCCTTTAATATGTCCAGACATTGTAGAATATAGAAGGCAAAAATACATAAACACCAAAGGGTCTAATATAACTCCTCACTAATGTGAACTGGTAATGATTTGGTAATCATGCAGCCATTCACATCCATATTGCTGAATATGTGAGCTCTTGGTATTAAAGTTCATCCAAAAAGAAGAAGATCTAAACACCACGGCTTCAATTTTACTTTTAAAGTTCATGCTCAGAGCTTTTACTCTACATATATCAGGTAAGGATCCAACAACATGTACCGGGATGAAACAAATTCTTCCAGAGTAGAAAACAAAGGCAACACATACATGTTCAGTCACGCAGAAAGCCAATTATGGACAGGTGTAATAATTCATTGGACAAGAAAAATGACCGACCACATTAATTGAGAGGTATTTAATGACGAGTCAAGATTTCAGTTTATGCCATCTTCATGAACAAATAGACTCAAATAAGCTCTAAAACCATTTCAGTTTATGCCATCTTAATGTACAAATAGACTCAAATAAGCGCTAAAAATGTAATTGTACAAAATCAGTTCCATTCTATTTCTCCGGACAAGATAGCCAAATAATATACCAACAAAAAACAAGGAAGTCTTACAAGGAGGCTTTGAAAGAAGAATGATGAATCAGGATATCATTTTGCATATGGCCTTGATCTTATTCTCAAGGAAATTATGGTTTAAACAACTTTAAGCTGGTTCTCAACTGTATTTTAAATTTTAAATCAATAAGTTTAAGCTGGTAAACAGAGATCCTTTATCTTGAGGAACTGTTTTCTATCGATCGGCATAAGATGCAGGAGAAAAATAATTTCTCCAATCAATAAAGATTACCCAAGGGCTGGGTTAAGATGAAAATCCAATGGCAATAATATTGTTCTAAGGAAAGAGAGGTGTTTGTGAGAGGAGTTTTTGCTTTCAGGAATGACCACTCCAGCAGAGATGTCTTGACTCTCAGGTGGTTTCATTCTTGTCACGGAACAAAGGGAAAATGTTACAAATCCCAAATTATTTCAAGTTTAGAACTGCATATTCAGAACTAGAAGCTTGAAATTGATCGATCAGTTCATGAATAATACAAGTACACCATAAATAAGTTTAATGGGTGAAATGATAAAAATTCAAAATTATCAGAAGAGGAATAAGTTGAATATCTTAAACCAGCAGAAGAGACCAAAGAATAGTTCCCAGGAAAGTGGCAGTTGAAATGAAGCAACAACCTTTCATTTGAAGAATCCTTCTATGGATTACAAAAGCCAAAAAATTCCAAAACAAGCCCCGCTTGACCTCTCATTTACAAGCACAGACCCTAAACACAAGGAATCATGACTAAATCACAAACCAGCCCAACACCATCTCACATTCTTAAAAGGTTGCAACTTTTGATGGCTTAGCATTCCGAAAGAATAACCAGATTAAAAAAAATATATATTTAAGGGACCAAGTCCTCTGAATCATCACCAAAACAGACTTGAAAACAAATGCCATTAACGTTGAGTCTCGATTAGTCTGCAATCGACAGTAATATCACACAACTTAAATTATGATCAATATTGAGGATGCCCAAAAGATCGAATTGAACTAAACTACCACTCTCCTAACTATAAATGTAAATTCAGCTGATGGGCCAAGTTAAAATAATAATAATAAATAAAATAAATACAAATGAAGAGGAGAAAGAGAAGTACTGACTTCATGAGAATATCATAGTACTCAGGATCTAAAGCAGAGAACAATGAATCCACATCTTTTATTGCCATTAGCGCTCTGTGCACCACTATCCAATTCGCTGACTACAAAAAGAGAAAATCAAAACTTTCCCTCGTAGATCTTTCAAAAAAAAAAAATGAAAATGAAAAGGAAAAGGAAAAACCTTGCATCTCTCATCTCGAGTCTTTGGAGGCGAGCCTTCCAGAGCCGTTTTGAGAGCCTCAACGGGTCTGCCCCTGAGAGAAAGGTACAAAAAAGCAGTCCCCAAAAGTTTAATAGCAAAATAAAAGACAGAGAGAAATTGAGATCTTGATAATTACTGACTGTTTGAGTAGGCTTTCGATCTTGCGAGTTTTGTGTTCTATTCTTGTGATTATAGCCTCTGCCTCTGCGTTCTCTGCTTCCACTATCTCTCCTCTCCCTGCCATTCTCCTCTCTCTTTCTTTGAAATGAAATTATGGGGGAGGGGAGTTGATCGTTTTTAGCTGCGGCGGTTAGCGGTTGAGCCTTCGGCGCCGTGCTTTTCCTGTTTTCGATTCAGCTGGTGATGTTTTATGATCGTTCCTTAATGGGCTCACTGCCTCTGCTTCAAAGTCATCGCGGGCTAAGGCTCCCTGGTTCTTTTCTCTTCAACCCGGGCTGAGTTTATCGTTTCCAGGTCATAATTATAAGCCCCCATCCCAGGTCACCCTGATTTGGGATCGACCTGGCCCAAGGTCTCTATTACCTTCGTAATGAATTAATCCGGATTAATTCATTTAATCCAAAATTATTTTTTTAAAACTTAAATCTATAATATTTAATAAAAAAATAAAAAATTTTATTGACCCGACGTTACCAGATTTAAATTGATGGGTTGCCGAGTTGAGTATGAGGTTGGGTCTTATAACTATAGTCCAGATTTCTTTTCACTGTTTTTTATTTTTTTTAAAAAATTCCTGTTTATGTTTTTATTTAAAAAAATTTAAAAATCACTTTTAAAAAATAAAAACAAAAAAATAATGATACAATAAATGGAAAATCAAATAAATATGAAAAGTGTTTTAGAAACTTAGGTGAGAGCCTTGAACACCGTAATAATAGAAAGTTATTGATAATGAGTGGAGAGCAGATAAGGCAAGGCAGTCTCAATGATATCGGACCTTGGAGTACACATTATACAAACATTTTATTTTTTTAAAAGTATTTTTTATATAATAAGTATCAAATTAATGTTTGGAAATATTTTTTTAATGATTTTAATATATTGATATAAAAAATAAAAATATAATTTGAATTTAAAAAATAGTCTTTGCCTGAATCATTGTCCTTTAATTTACTTATGGCCCCTCCATTTATTTCTCTAAAAATAAAATCATGCTGGTAACCTTCCACATGTAATACAGCTAGTCCAGCATGGCATGCCACGCCAGTGGAGTGACTCGGCTTGAGTTGGAAATAGCAAATACACGAATACAATACGCAGAAGGTATAAAATCCCATTTCCGATTTCCAAGAAAACAGTGGCCGATGAAGACAAAAATTGGGAAAAAAGAGAAAAATATAAACTGTTCATGGACCCAGTTCTTGACTTTAATTCCCATTTTATTATTTACAAAAGTTTCCCGTTTACGTGGGCAAATTACATTGAATAAATTCATGAGGTTGGTACGGCGACAAGTAGTCTTGTTCTTTGCTTAATTTTTGAAATTAAAATATTAAATCTAATATCTAAAAGATTTATTAAACTTGTTTTAATTATAAATTAATATAGAGAATATGAGTTTAAGATTGTTATATAAAGGAATCAAACTCATACAAGCTATTTTTATTGATTTATTTAAATATAAATACAAGTAATATAATCTCAAGACAATGTAATAAAAAGTTAATCTCAATTAAAATATAAAATAATTAAAAATGTATATTGATAATGTAGTTGTTATTGTTTTTTAAATAATTTTTTATAAAAAAAAATATATTAATAATTTTTTATTTTTTAAAAATTATTTTTATATCAGTATATTAAAATAATTTTAAAATATTAAAAATATATTAATTTGAAATAAATAACAAATTTTTAATTTTTTTAAAATCCTTTTAAAACATAAAAACAAATAAAACATTAACAAATCAACGTATCCTTGCTAGGTTTTGTTGCCTTCCTGGTTTTGTTTTCGTAATAGTGTTAAAACTTGGTAATTCTGAAAGTGAACTCATCTTGAATTGATTTAAATAAAAAAATTTAAAAAATTAATAAAGTGTACTCTTATTAAAAAAAAAAAGTTAACCATGACGCAATCGGGTGAATTTTTTAATTAAACCAAAATGTTACTTTATTCTTTTAAAAAATATTAAATTTATTCTGTATTTAACTTTTTCGACACGTAAACCGGATTTTACCTTAATCCGGTTTTAAAACGATAGTTTTGGCCGTTGCCTTGCCTCAACCCAAAACAATGGAAGGAAAGAAAAGGACAACCCCGTAATTTAGTACAAACGGTCACAATAATGACACTTTTGAATTCGCCTCTTCCTTTCTTCTCATCACGGACCTCACTCCATGTTCTCCTTCCTTTCCTTCAAATTCTTCCTTCCTTCACCTCCTCTTTTCCCCATTCCCACACTCACCAAACAACAGAAAAAAACCTTGTTCCTCCATCAATGGCAGATCCAGTCTCATACTCCAAGCCCCATTTCCCACTCAAGGAGCTTCACAACTCTAAGCCCGTCACCAAAATTAATAAGTCGTCGTCGTCGTCATCTTTCACTAGTCGCGTTCTCTGTAAGTCTCTCTTTTTTGTGCTCTTTCTTGTTCTTATTCCACTATTTCCTTCACAAGCTCCTGAATTTATCAGTCACTCTACTATTTTCACCAAATTCTGGGACCTTGCTCACCTTCTTTTCATTGGCCTAGCTGTATGTTATGGCTTGTTTAGTAGTAGAAATGTTGAAGATTTTGACTTTGAACCACCATCCCACTACTCCGATGATTCACAATCATCTTATGTCTCTAGAATTTTTCATTTTTCTCCAATTTTTGAAGATGGGTCTGAAAATTTGTCTGGGTTTGATGACAAAAATGTGTACCAGAATTGGGACTCACAGTATTATAGAGGTGAGTCAATGGTTAATGATACCACTGGTCTTGAACTGAACAAAATTGGACAACGGTACTACAGGGGTGAGTCTATGGTTGATGTTGCTAATGGTAATGAACGAAACGAGGGTGGATCTGCAGATGCTGAAAATGGCTTTGAAAATTCATTTGAGAATGGTGAGAGTAATGTGGTTCAATCTTGGAATTCCCAGTATTTCCAACTTGAATCAACAGTTGTAGTGTCTCAACCAAACTATTCACTCGATGAATATGGTAATCGAGGACAAGCAAATGGTTACAGGCCACTAGGATTGCCAGTTAGGAGTTTAAATCCGAGGGTTAGGAATCTGGATAGTCCTCAATTTAGTAATGGAAGCGAGTCTGGTACAAGCTTCTCGGGCTCGGGCTCGGCTGATGGTTCTGGAAGGAGTGTAAAGGAGAATGATTTTGGTGATATGGGTCCTACGAACTTAGAGGGGATGCTTGATGAAACAGTAGCCTTACCTTCCCAAATTCCATGGCGTCCGAGATTTGAGATAAGGGAAATTAGAGAGAAAGTGGGTTCTTCTGCTGGAGGTTATTCACATTTTAGGCCTCTCTCAGTGGATGAAACACAGTTCGAGTCTCTCAAATCGCAGTCTTTCATATCCACAACATCTTTGTCATCTCAAGGGAATCCAGGTCCACAACATTTCGATCCTTCACATTTTAGACCTCTCTCGGTTGATGGAACTCAATTCGAGTCTCTCAAGTTGCAATCTTTCAGATCCACAACATCTTTGTCATCTCAAGGGAATCCAGGTCCGCAACACCTTGGTCCTTCACATTTTAGACCTCTCTCAGCTGATGAAGCTCAATTCGAGTCTCTCAAGTCACAATCTTTCAGGTCCACAACATCGTTGTCATCCCAAGGGAGTTTAGCATCTTATTCACCAACCACGCTCTCGCCCTCACGTTCCGTTTCTTCTGAAATGCCAAACTCTGAAACTGAAGAATTAGGGGAAGACAAGAGTTACCGTGCTTCTTATCCTCCTGCTTCTCAACCACCAACAACCAGGAAGGCTGATGCTCCATTGAATGCATTTCATTTGAGGAGATATAGTAGTGGCTCTTTATTCCAAAAGGATTCCCGGAGAAGCTTGAAGGATGAGTTGAAGGATTTGAAAGGGAAAAGAAATGAGGATACAATGGGTAGTAGAGAGGCGGGGCAGGATTCTTTGAGATCAGATCAGAGACCTGCAACACCTGTTAAAATCTCATCACTAAAGGGAAAATCTGTTAGGACTATCAGAGCCAGCCGATATGCTGCAGAGACAATAAAAGCTGGAGAGATGAGTAGAAACCACATTGATGACAAGGTTGGAAAAATATGCAATGAAGCTCAGACAGTAAACATGGGAAAGGATGAAATGGAGAGAGGGCATGATAATATGTTAATTGGCGCCGATAAAAAGAACTCTGATACTCAGCATCACATGTCAAAGCCAACCCTTTCGAAGTATAAGAAGAAAGAAAATGAAGTAATTTCAGAGAGTGTTACTGTGGAGTCCACAGAAGACTCAGAAAGCGAGAATGATATCTCTCGAGTGAGTTCAGATGAAGATTCTGCTCCGGCCATCAACAATGACGCAGGAGACTACTCTAGTGAGGTTGATAAGAAAGCTGGTGAATTTATAGCCAAGTTCAGGGAGCAGATCAGGCTTCAGAAAGTAGCATCTAGTGAGAGATCAAAGGGCAAGCGCATGAATGGTACTTATGTTAGGTGAAAGATAAGCCTATACTGCTCCCAGATAGCTAACAACATGGAGACTAAGTTGGTTATTATTCATTTTTTAGATGGTTTTCCTTCTATTATCCATATTACTCTGTGTTCTAAATCTACTATTGTAGATACTATATACAGTTCTCTTGGAATTGTGAAGTATGAGCACCCACCACTTGATAACACAATTGAAGATTTCAGGTCTTGGTCTGATAGAATTCTTCAACCTTCTAGCTATCCTGCATTACTTTGACATCTATTACACTCGTAGTATCTCCTTAATAATTAACACACGCCATTCTCATGCCTGCCTTTGTGTTTGGTTTTGCATCATTTACCGTGCTTTGAAAAGTAGAGAACATGATTGAGATTCTCAGCAAATGGTGTTGTGTCTGCTATGCTTGCTGCGTGTACATATTAGTTATCTCATGTTAGAAGGATGGCTCTGAAAGGGTTTATGATCATCTAGTGTTGTTTAAGCATAGACTGTGACAAATGAGATTAGGGTTTCTGTGAAGTTACCTAGAACCTTAGCATTTCTTGTCTGACCGGGGAATATGTCACATTAAACATTATAGAGTGTTTGAGAGTATGATAGTGATTATTATTTAATATGTTTTTTTTATTAGAAATGCATTAAAATATTTTTTTTATTTTTTAAAAATTATTTTAAATATTAATACATTAAAATGATTTGAAAATATAAAAAATAATTTTAAATGAAAAATATTCCAAATTTTCATGGAATGCTATTTAAAAAGCAATTTCATTAGATGCCTACGACTTGAAGCTTATCTCAGATTTATTGAAGGAAGAAATATGATTTTTAGATAGTATTTTATATTATAATAGTAGTTTTTTAAAGTTTTTTTTTATTTAGAAATACATCAAAATAATATTTTTAAATTTATTTTTAATATATATATATATATTATTCTTGTTTTAAATTATATATATATATATATATATATATTATATATATATATTTTGTAAAAGACGTGGCTCGCAGATAAAATAAAAGGGCTCTTAATCAGTTTTTGAAATAATATTTTACCGAGCAAGGTATGGAAGCTGTTGACAAGGCCTACTATTTTGAAATATTCAAGGAACATGATTCCTTTGTCTGTTAAAAGACATGTTCAATACTAAATTATACTTTTCTGCATCTATGTGTGGTAATTTACACTTTTGAAATATCCTTCTGAAGTTATCCGTGAATAAAAAATCTGTTGCTATGTTTTTCAGTTGAAGGCTTGCTTGAACATTATCTGTTGCCAGAGTGATTTGTCTTAAAACAATTCCTGCGGTTAATAAATTAACCAAAGATTTGATAACATGAAAGCAGATCAGTCTATTTAAACATCAAAGGGAAATTCTTTCTGTTTTCTGCTAGCAAGTTTTGCATCAGAATGAGATCAGCATTCATGAAAAGTGATCATAACTTGTGCAGGACTTTCTAATTCTGATTGTTCATACAATAATTATTCTCCACTTGTTTTTTATAGAGCTACCCCAGATGAAAGAAAAAAGATCAGCATATAGTTACACTCATGCTTGCAGGTATTACTTTTAAGCAATTCTTTGATCGTAAACATGAAGAATCAAATATAAAACATAGTAACATCATGATTTTCATTTTTAAATAATTATTTAGAGAAAGCTTATCTTGATCTATGGCAAGCCTTTTAAAGGATTTAAATCATGGATTTAATTTGACGAAGAAAACTATTTTTCTCTTATAACCCTCAATTGTTTTACACTTGTTTTTTATGGAATAAAAACTTGTGTGTATATATATTTAGTTATGAGATAGAGCGCGTATCAATTTTCTTGATAGACTCTTTGTATATCAGTCATTAAATAGTCAATTATCTCCATATATGAGCAGCTAGCATGTGAGGCATAAAACTTAAAAGCCATGCCTATGTTCATCAAGACTTGAACATTGCGTAGGACATGATCATAAGCACAACCACTCATAACTTTTGTTGCACTCGTTCTACGTTAAGTAAAGCCCCCACATCTTGTCAACTAACTCAACTAAATTCGTTCCAGTCGTCGTTGAGTTTCCCCCTTCAAATTCTTGGTAGTTGGTGCCTAGTGTAAGTGAATTTTATAGTCTCATGGGAAGCATATTCATGTGCATAGGATTCTGTCCCACAACTATTTCCTCGAGTCTGATTGTGACTTACGAACCATGTTTTAAAGTCGGACCTGATCGTGCCCCGTGGGTGGGGGGCAGAATAGGAGCTCGCAGGAGTAATGGTTCTTGGAAGAATGTTTGGACTTCCAATTTTATGAAGCGTTGGGGAGGAAGAAGACCATGGAAAAGGTTGCAGTCCCGCAGTTGCAGAGATGCATACCCAGAACTTCCATCAAGCGCTTAAAAGTTGTGGCTATGTGGATATGATGGCTGCAAACCAGTGTTTGATGATGTTAAGATATTTTTATGCTATAATATATATTTAACTTTTGGAGAAAAACCTCGAAAGCTTTTTTTTTTTTTGGTATAAAAAAGCCAAAAACCTTTGTTTGTAAAACAGGCTTAAAAGTGACAATATAACCTTTTTTTCAGAATTATATATATATATATAATACAAGCAAAACACAATATTTTTCCATGGTAAAATAAGATACGGAGAATAAGATATGGTAAGATAAGATTTCGATATTGAAAATGCAAATACATGAATGAGTAAACACTAGTCATATTTTGATTTGCGCTAGAAACTATATTTGATTTAAAAAATCATCAAATTGATATTTTTTTTATTGTTTCTAATAATTTTAATTTGCTAATATAAAAATCTAAAAAAATTATTATTTTAAAATATTTTTAAAAATAAAAATACTTTAAAAAAAATTATACACAACAATATAAATCACATGCTAAAAACTTAAAAGGTACGGATTCAAGGTTTATTCAATTTATTAATTTTTTTAAATTTGAATCTCAGGATCAAATATACCATACAAATATAAAAATGCATTGCTCTTTAACAACATTCAAAAAATGATTTTATCTTATATATATATATATATATATCTGATTTGATGATATTCGTAATAAGTGGAATAAAAAATTATAGTAAAAGAAAAAATTAGAAACAACCAATAACACGCACCTTCACAACAAGAACTTTAGTTTACCAATAAAAATAATCGCATAAATTAAGAGTGTCTGGAAATAAAATAGGAAATAAAAACTCTTCTAAGAATAAAATATGGTAAATCCTTTGACTAATCATTTGAAATAAAAGAGAGGCTAAAGAGACGACGACGTTTTGATGACGGGTCAAGAAAGGAAATGCAGTCGTCATTACACAACTGTTCCTCCTACTTTGAAACAGAAAAATTCCAAATCTAGAAAACGGGGAGAGAGAGAGAGAGAGAGAGAGAGAGAGAGAGGAAGAGTCAAAAATAAACAAGGCAAGGGCAGCTTACCTTTCGCTTTCCATTGTTTGCTGAGAAAAAAGGCAATCCAATCCACACACCCAAAAAAAAAAAAAAAGAAATTAGAAATTTCTTCAAGGAGATCCTCTCCTTCCTCCTCAAATCAACCATGAAATCAACCATTCGATTCTCAATTTCGTCTTCTTGTAATCCGTAGGAGGTTATTTCTACTTGTTTCTTTTCTTTTAGGGTTTTGTGAAGATGTATATCGAAGAAATAAAGGGAGGAGATCAAGATGACAATTCATGCAGAAACGTTGTCGTTTTGGACGCGAAGAGAGTCTTTGTAGGTGCTGGAGCTCGTGCTCTCTTTTACCCTACACTTTTGTACAATGTTTTGAGAAATAAGATTCAGTCCGAGTTTCGTTGGTGGGATAGAGTCGATCAGGTATGAAATAAATTATTTTATTTTATTTTATTTTATTCAGCCTTAGTTGATGAATACTGACTGACTGAGTAAATTGTTTTTGGTTATTTTCAGTTTATATTGTTAGGAGCGGTTCCATTTCCGACAGATGTTCCACGATTGAAGACATTAGGTGTGTCTGGAGTGGTTACATTGAATGAATCATACGAGACTTTGGTTCCTACATCACTATATCATGTGAGTTTCTAAGTTCGGTTTCTGGATGTTGTTATACACAGGTGTCGATGAATGTTTAGCAAATTATTTGAAGCTACTCCTGTTTATGCAATTATTATTGTTATCGGAGAAATTATTTGCTTAAATGGACAGTGCTTCCTCTAAAAGCCAACCGATTTCGCAAATTGTTGTGTCTTAATTGTTGAAAAAAGAGGGGAAAAGAGTTTGTCTTTGTTCTTTTCACTTGGCTATGCCTGAGTGTTGAAATAGCACTTATGTTCGCTGTTGATTTGTTTTTTAGGCTCATGATATTGATCATTTGGTCATTCCGACAAGAGACTATCTGTTTGCTCCTTTGTTTAGTGATATATGCCAAGCTGTGGATTTCATACATGGTAAGTATCTTCTTAAAGTTCATTTGCTGGCCTTTTATTGTTCCTTTCACGCCGTTTATCTCTTTTGCAGTCAACATGGTATTGCTGTTGTGTTTTTGTTTTGCTTCCCCTTACCAGAGAGAGTCATTAATAACTGTGTTTATTTGATATTAACGTTCCATTTCCTTATTTTTGTTGTGCTTTATGAAGAAAATGCCTCTCTTGGGAAGACAACATATGTTCATTGCAAGGCTGGTAGGGGGCGCAGTACAACCATTGTTCTCTGTTACCTAGTATGTATAAATTCAAACTGGACTTATCGAATGTCTTAATTTTATTATGCCTTATTTTTACCTGCTTGAGATTTTCTGTTTCTTGACAGGTGGAACACAGGCACATGACGCCCAAATCTGCGTACGAGCATGTGAGATCTATTAGGCCTAGGGTACTTTTGGCCTCTTCTCAATGGCAGGTATTGCTGATATAAGTTTCATGGGTGCATCCATCATTTAAATTCAATTGAACCCTTCTATGGATTTGCAACAAGCAAAGAAAAACACACGCTACACACACACACACACACACACACACACACTGAGGAATCTGGACTCAGAAGAGCATGCTCTTACAAGCTTCACTCCAGCTCAAATGACTTGGATTGAGCGGAAGACAAGAATTTATGATTAATGAACATGAATCTGGACCAAGAAGAGCATGTTTTTAAAAGCTTCACTCCAGTTCAAATGACTTGGATTGAGCGGAAGGCAAGAATTTATGATTAATGAACTGTACTCTGTTACTAACTTATA